TTCTGCTGCTCCTTTTATTCATTTCTTCTGCTAATAGAATTTATCCCTCCTCCAGTAATCTTTCGCCACCTGTCCCACACCTTCAATTCACACTTTAGTTGCTTCTTTTAATATTATTGATCCCCTGGTGCTCCTTCCCACCTTCTTGTACACCCGCACTTCGCGTGTTGTATCAGATTTGCACATCATCCACCCACTTGCAACTTGTAATCATACCTTGAACTCTCCCACTATAAATAGATGACACCCCTCTCATTTACGGGATTGGCTAATCTTAGTCTAATAGCTTACACATTCTCTCGCTCTTTTTGTATTCTCTAGATTATAACTCAGCTCACTGGACGCGATCTAATCATACCTATTTATTATACAATAGCAGTGGACTAGGATTCACTTTTAGGCATTCGAACCACTTTAAATATCGCTTCTCATTCATTGTTTCATTTCATGTTTTCTTATCACGTGTGTTTCTAAGTCTGCTTAGCACTTTGCACTTATGATCGTTGGTGTCAAAATCAAGCATCAACACAGTATCATTACCTGTCTAATCAACAATAACAGAGATCATCATGAAAATGCTAAAAGAGAAGTGTCATATAATTTCATGATGATGAAGAGAAACTACAAAATGAATTATAATAATGAAGGTGGGAAAGAAGAAAGGGAGTTATGGGGGTATTTAATTTTGCCGTATAGCAAATGCCACAGGCAACTTCTCAAGTAATAACAAACTGGGAGAAGGTGGTTCTGGACCAGTAGACAAGGTAACATTACAACATTCTTCCAAGATTAGTATTCAGCTTATATATACTAGTTTTGAGTGATCATTACAGGGTACATTGGAGGAGGGGCAGGAGATTGCAGTTAAAGGCTGTCAAAAAGTTCCAGGCAAGGAATCGAAGAGTTCAAAAGCGAAGTTACACTAACCGATAATCTTCAACACTGGAATCTTGTGAAGCTTTGGTTGTTGCATCCAAGCAAATGAAAATTTGTTACTCTATGATACATGCCTAACAAAAGCTCGGACTTCTTTATCTTTAGTTTGAACTCTAAACACTCCTTTTTTTTTTATTGTGATCGTGAAGATTTAGCATTGTACTAACATGGATAGATTGTTGATCAGATCAAACAAGAGGCGAATTATTTGATTGGTCAAAGCGCATCCATAACCGTTGCGAGATGAATGCTCTACTCATCAAGACTCTAGAATGAGGATTGTACATAGGGACCTCAAAGCCAGCAATCTGTTACTAGAATATGATACGAACCAAAAATTTCTGACTTGGCATGGCCACAATATTTGGGGGAATGATTGAGCTAATACAACAAAGTAGTTGGAACATAGTAGTACACCTAACGTTGTTTTCTTCTTTTACTTTCTTCAGCTTGTGACCTTCTCTTCCAATGTCATTTTGCATGGCTATAGTCTCCGGAGTATGCAACTGATGGGGTTTTCTCGGTGAAATCTGACATATTTATGTAGTTTTGGAGTTTTAGTCCTAGAGATTGTTAGTGGGAAGAAAAACAGAGGATTTCCCATCCAGATCATTACCTTAACCTTCTTGGACATGTAAAGTTGAGAATAACATTTTATATATAACTATTCTGAAACAAATATGTCATCTGTGCTTTATGTTTTACTTTGGAAAGAGTGAAGGCCATTGAAGTTAATTGGTGATGCATTTGGTGACTCTCGTCCGCCCCTGTGTTGATTCATTCATGTGGTTTGTTATGCGTGCAACAACGACCAAAGACAGGCCAAGCATGTCATCTGTGGTTCTAATGCTGGGAAGTGAGTGTTCATTGCCTACCCAAAGCAACCTGGGTTTTTCTCAGAAAGAAATCTGTTTGACCTGAGTCTTCATCAGGCAACTTTTTCCATTTTGGAGGCAAGGTAGAACATCACCAATTACCAACAGCCCTTAGTATCCAGACAATCTGTTTAATGGTTATTACAAGTCTGTTGTTAAATTGTTTGTTGTGATGCTTTATTATACCATTAGTGTCTGTACTAATTGCAAGTGTTTGATTCAGAATTTGGAGTCCCACATCGACTAGGCACGCTCAGCCTATGGGTTATAAAAGGGGTAATCCTCCCATTCAACAAGGCCTTTTGGGTGAGGAGTTAGGCTCACCTCAATTCTACGTGGTATATGCCCAGGTTTATTTGAGCTGAGCGTTTCACCAGCGAGTGAGGAGTAGCGCCAGCAACTACCTCCAATAATAGGCATGACCCAACATATGGGCTTGACCTTGAGGGGAGTGTTGGAGTCCCACATCGACTAGGCACGCTCAAGCCTATTGGGTTATAGAGGGGTAATCCTCCCATTCAACAGGTCTTTTGGGTGAAGTTAGGCTCATCTCAAATTCTAACACAGAAGATGAAAAGATTGTCCGTTCTGTTGTAATTTCTGACACTGGCTCAAGCGGACTATTTCTTCTGGCATTCTATTTTTAAGTGCAATCAACTTCAAGTTTTTCACAGCAGTGAAAATACATTTCCATCATCATGATATGATAAAAACACGATTTATTTTATTTTATTAATAGGGGTATTCAATATTAGGTGAAGGAATATTAGGATAAATGAACCACCATTGGGTGGCCTAACGGTCAACTAGGATTCTGAATATTTACTCAAGAGATCTTGAGTTCGATGCACTTGGGTTGCTAATAGGGATGGTTACTAAGGAGATTTACCCGATTGTTAACTCAGATCCCGAGGGATTAGTTGAGGTGTTGCAAGTTGGCCCGGACACTCCAATCACCAAATATATAATTTATATATTAGGAGAGTAATATATAAATATACTTATATTTTGGTGCCTCTGCGTGTGATAATAAACAAATAAACAAAGAGAGATCACTTAACTGATATCTAGGATTGAGATTGAGTGGATCCACATTGCCACTGATATTACTAGAATCAATCTCCACTCAAATTAACACATTGTGAAAACACTCGTACAATTATTTTCTACAAGTTATTCAATGACAAATAGTCTTTAAAGTATAAGTATAGGAAAAAATTTATGTATAATTGCTGCATTCCTTAACAGTAAAACTATCACCAAAGTAATGCTGAAACTCTATCTACCCTGCTGAATGGTTAGCTCAATGCATTTTCTTGTTGTAATTTTGTTCTAGATGTTGTATCTGTGCTGAAACCTATTCTGTGAGAAACCTGGCTGTTTAGGCTGAGGAAGCACCACCTCTTCATTCCCTAACATGAAAACTACAGAAGACATTTCTGGCCTGTTTTCTGGGAACTTTTGAACACACAACAAGCCCACTTGAATACACCTTTGAACTAGAGATTCAATGAAAGAATCCCAAACATGTATCCATTAAATCCAGGGCCCTTCCATCATTCCACAGTAGCCAGCCTGAAATATTGCAATGCATATGCTTTATTTATTCACCAAGCCGATAGTGTGTGCAAGAGTGAGTGCACATCTTTTTTCTACTTACATGTCCAAGAAGATTATGATGTGGTCTTGGGGACGGAACCCTCTATTCCTTCTACCACTTATTTCTCTGCAGAAGCACACCAAAACTAAAACATCGGATTTCAATGAAAATGTGCCCTCGGTGCATACTCAGGAGACATATAGCCACTGCATCAAAACACAAAAATAAGTTCTTCAATTAGTAACACACATGATTACAGTAATACTACTTACTATGTTCCGACGACTCTCTTTGTTTCACTTCTTTGTCATCACTTGCAAAAATTCTTGCCACCACCGAAGTCTGAAATTTTAGGATCAGGTCATATCTTAAAATATTGCTTGTCTTCAGATCCCTGTGAACTATTTGAAGTTTAGAATCTTGGTGGAGGTAGAGAAGTCCTCTTGCAATCCCATAACAATGTCTAAGCGTTTTTTCCAGGATAATAGTTTGCTTCTTTCACGATCTGCACATCGTTGCCAACTTTAGTAACCAAAAACTAGACCTGTTGTTCAATTTTCTATTTTGACAATAAGATGAATCAATATATGAGTAGCTTCAAGCTGTGTTACTCATAGTAGTTAACTAACTGATTGAGTATAAAGTCTAGAGAAGTAACCGAAGATAAAGTTATCCAGCTTTTGTTGGGCAAATACTCGTAGATTAGCTCCTTTCATCTCCTTCAATGCAGCTGCCAACAATGGCAACGATTCCTTGTTGAACTTTCCAATTAAAATTACTTCATTCATGAATTCTTCAAGACCCTGTCCTGATTTTCTTGAAAGCCTCTTGACTGCAATTTCCTGTCCCTCTGAAAGATTTCCTGTATATAATGCGTGCTTTGCTATTTAGCGTGAGGTTACACCGCACCTTATACCTTTCTATTGAGTGATTTGTAAACATGTATGTAACTACTACCTTGTAAACAGGACCAAAGCCACCCTCGCCAATTAAGTTGCGTTAGAGAAATTGTTAGTTCGCAGCAATGGTAGCCAAATCAAATAAAGGTACTTCTATTTCCCCTTTCTCTTCTCCATGCTTGTTAAGTTTGAACTTCTTGCTTATCTGTACAGCCATGAGCCAGACATTACTTTCATCTTTTTAGGGAACTCTCTAAAATTTGAGTAAAACAATATCAGATGCCAGATGGGCATGGAGGTTCCAAATGATTAAATAATTTAACCAAAGGTTTGAGGAGGTCAGTGAACTTTATTAAAGTCAGCAATATTAGATGATATATTACCTTTGTTCTTTCTTTTCTTCCAAGCTTTGCAGAGTACCATGACCAATATAAAGAAGCCAGCGACTGTTGAGACCACCAGGACAATTTTTACTACTTTTCTTTGCGCGAATCGTAACTGATTTTATAACAGCGAACATCAAAAAACTTGATCAACTAATTCTGTTTTACATTTCAAAAACCAGAAAAAGAAAGAAACAAAGAGGACAAACATTTTCGAGATTAATTTTCTTAAATTGGTAGAGTGTATCCAAGCCAAGCTATAAAGAATGCTTTGAATTTGCTGTCAGCTGTAATTGAAGCAACTGACCTAGTTCTGAAGCTGGAACTCGTATAAAAATATCCTGTCCCCAGTGAATCCTTCTGAGCATTCTTTCATATCAGTGAGGTCTCCAAACCACATCAAACAGCCACTACCCTTTCCCCTGTATCCAGATTCGAGAAAGCGCTGCATGCACAATTCTTCAAGCACTCTGCCTGACATTCCTGAATATTCATACTCTCATTCAACCAAGGGAATCAGGCACTTTCATCCGCACAAGCTTTAGAAATCCTTCTCCTTTCGGCATTCTGATTCCATTGACGATTTCTTGACACATTTGTTTAGTCTGAGTTTTGTCCCCTTCTTCTGAATTAGGTAACACCCCTTTAAGCATCCACAAATAGGTGTCCACAAACCTGTCTTGCCGATTCTGCAGTTACCATTAGCACCACACTCTGCATAATGGTCACATATGTCATATCCCAGAGTACAAACGATTCCATTCTCCGTTCCCCTCGTCCCTATCAAACGCTGAATTGAGCCAGATGGATCCAATATTAATCGTGTCACAACCGTGTCACTGAAAACATCATACATGTAGTATGACTCATCTTCGTTATGCACCAAATCTGGTTTGAAGATCAAGTTGTGCATCATGGGAATACCATTAAACTGGAAACCATTCCATGGTCCGCTGCGGGCTACTTTTTTTGATGGCGTGCTAATGACTAACTCAGGTCCATCATTTTTCTCAAGTCTTAGAGTAAAGTTTCCAGGGGCTGGATCACTGGCACTTCTCCATGCTGTCATAGTTCTCTGAAAGTCAGTTTTCAAGTTCCATCCCAACTTCATGCCCGTTAACAATGTGTCCGATGGGTAATCAAAGCTCTGCCACATATAATTTTCAAAAGTGTCAATATCTTCCCTAAGAATAAAGTTCCCAGAATCTAGGAGTTTTGCCACTGGATTTTCTGGCAATCTTGAAGAATTTGAAGACCAGATAATTCTCTTATCTTGGTTGAGAATTACAAGGTTTCCATTTAACACAGTTAGAACTCCGGACTTATCAGCTATTGGGATGTTTCTGTTGGCAACCCATACAACGGCCTTAGGACTAATCGTGTAGTACCAGATTCCCAGGTACCTGTTGTTTGAGTTTCCTGGTGAGAAGAAGCCTAGCTCAAATCTCTGGGATGAGGAAATTAATGTCTCACCATCTCTGATAGGTTGTCCCGGAGTTATCGTATCAGCTGCAGATGAGAACTCCATGGCTGATAAAAGAATTAAAGACCAAAACAAGGTGAAGAATATAAGGCTCTCCATTCTTATTTTGGAGAGGAAAAATTGAAAATTGCATTCATGGTGGAAGAGGTCAAGAGAAGTTCTTTTAATTTAGAACTTTCATACATTGTCTCATAGTTGACCTCGTAGATTTGTGTTTCCCACTGATAAGGCTTTGTTGAAAACTCAGAAATTGATGGAAAATGAGAGGGAAAGCATCCCGCAAAGAATATCATTTCACATAAGAATAGCTGGCCCTGAAAGATAAACAAGGTTAACCAAGGTTGGCCAAGCATAACGTTTTCAGGTCTAATGAATGGGTTTGTGTCAGTTCTTGTGGAAAATTTGATAGTTTATTTGTGTTTCACCTAATCCTTTCCTTACCATTCCCAGCCCTACGTTTTATAACTTTTGTGGTATCAACAATTATTGTAGTTAAAGAGCTGGTAATTTTGAAGAAATTTCTAGGAGATAACCAAGATTTCTAATCAAAACCACGAAAAACGTTATCTCAGTCCTGTCACTTCTTGGAATATAAATGTCGTTTGTCTGCAGTATACATACAACTGTCATTTGAGGGACATTCACCCTCAGAGTTGTCACAATCTTTGAACTTTCTAAGGCACCTTAGTCTTCCAACTCCCCATAAACGATGACATTTGTGGTCCCAAATTAGTCGAGGATAATTTACAAGTGATATTTGTTCAGTGAATTCCATGCGCTTGTTTTTCTTGGAAAGTGACGGCATAAGCCGGTAATCAGTAATTTTGGTGAAGAATGAATAGTTCCAAATGATATATTTGGTTCTTGAATGTATTCTTAGGGTCAAAGATGGACTGTATTTGTATAGAACCAAATACTTCTTTGTGAATAACTCCTGGACTCCTCATAAATGCAAACAATTTGTGTAGCACACTTGAATGACTGAGAAACTTATGCAAAGTCACCTGACAGTTTCTACCTATCAGTCAACCGTGAAGTTTGGAACTACAAGCTGTTATTAAAAATCAGAATCTAGTATGATACCATGTCAGAAATATGGAGGAGTAAAAATAACAACACACAGGGACACAATATTTATGTGGTTCAGCATAAATCGCCTATATTCACGGATGAGATGGTTTCTCTATAATTTTAAGAACACAATGCTAGAGCGTTAGGCAGGAACTCTACCCTATGGTGTTTTATCAGTACAACACCATCAACCCATTACATAGTGTCATGGGCTAGGAGTTTCACACCCAAAAGGCTAATCTATTAGGTAGAGGGACTCCCCCCATTTATAAGCCCAAGACCTCCTCAATATGCTTTCAATGTGGGATTTGTTACATTCTCCCCTACCCAATCCTGTGACTCCCTCGTCACAGGTGGGGTCCCCTGCTTACCCATCCACCTCACTCTCGTGTAGACCCACAATCACACGTGGATGCCCCTGTGTCGGCGCTTGACGGGACATCGAAAGATGGATTGGGTCTACTCTGATACCACTTGTCACGGGCTAGGAGTCTCACACTCAAAAAGGCTAACCTATTAGGTAGAGGGACTCCCCCCATTTAAAAGCCCAAGACCTCTCCAATACGCTTTCAATGTGGGATTTGTTACAATAGGCAGACATTCTATTCCTAAGGTATTTAATACCCCTTCCAAAGGTATTTAATACCCTTTCTCATCTTGTGTTTCTTACATTCTCTCTTCTCTTGTGATTTCTCTCAAAAACCATAAATTGGTTCTAACCTCTATATTTAGATGCAGAATAGGACATTTTTTTTTTCTACTAAGATTGATATTTTAAATCCTAATATGACTTCTCTTATTTAATTCATTCTCATATTTTGACTTAAAATAAAATCTTAAACCAATTCTTTTTTTCTAATTCATATCAAAATAAAAGAAAAACAAATATACTCCAATACAAACTCTTAAAATAGAAATTTGCCTCAAACTGAAATTCTCCTAAAAATCTTCATCAACTACAAAAAAGTGTTCACATTCTAAGTATAAAACCTCACTGCCTAAACATTTGGAATTTAAGGTCAACAGAAAATTCTTATTTGTCTACCTAACTGGTGCCATACACATTTATATAATAATCCAATAAAGTCGTTTTCTGAAGCAAGTTTTTCCATCTATGAAATAACATGTTCACACTTAGGTTCAGCCTCTGGTGGAAAATCCATCAGTGTAAACATCATTAATTCAAATCATAAAATCAAAGTCGATCGTTTCGAATTAAGTTCTAATGCTGGAAGTGGTGTTCATTGCCTACCCAAAGCAACCTGGGTTTTTCTCAGAAAGAAATCTGTTTGACCCTGAGTCTTCATCAGGCAACTTTTCCATTTTGGAGGCAAGGTAGAACATCACCAATTACCAACAGCCCTTAGTATCCAGACAATCTGTTTAATGGTTATTATACAAGTCTGTTGTTAAATTGTTTGTTGTGATGCTTTATTATACCATTAGTGTCTGTACTAATTGCAAGTGTTTGATTCAGAATGTTGGAGTCCCACATCGACTAGGCACGCTCAGCCTATTGGGTTATAAAAGGGGTAATCCTCCCATTCAACAAGGCCTTTTGGGTGAGGAGTTAGGCTCACCTCAAATTCTACGTGGTATCATGCCCAGGTTTATTTGAGCTGAGCGTTTCACCAGCGAGTGAGGAGTTAGGCCAGCAACTACCTCCAATAATAGGCATGACCCAACATATGGGCTTGACCTTGAGGGGAGTGTTGGAGTCCCACATCGACTAGGCACGCTCAAGCCTATTGGGTTATAAGAGGGGTAATCCTCCCATTCAACAGGTCTTTTGGGTGAGAGTTAGGCTCATCTCAAATTCTAACACAGAAGATGAAAAGTTGTCCGTTCTGTTGTAATTTCTGACACTGGCTCAAGCGGACTATTTCTTCTGGCATTCTATTTTTAAGTGCAATCAACTTCAAGTTTTTCACAGCAGTGAAAATACATTTCCATCATCATGATATGATAAAAACACGATTTATTTTATTTTATTAATAGGGGTATTCAATATTAGGTGAAGGAATATTAGGATAAATGAACCACCATTGGGTGGCCTAACGGTCAACTAGGATTCTGGAATATTTACTCAAGAGATCTTGAGTTCGATGCACTTGGGTTGCTAATAGGGATGGTTACTAAGGAGATTTACCCGATTGTTAACTCAGATCCCGAGGGATTAGTTGAGGTGTTGCAAGTTGGCCCGGACACTCCAATCACCAAATATATAATTTTATATATTAGGAGAGTAATATATAAATATACTTATATTTTGGTGCCTCTGCCGTGTGATAATAAACAAATAAACAAAGAGAGATCACTTAACTGATATCTAGGATTGAGATTGAGTGGATCCACATTGCCACTGATATTCTAGAATCAATCTCCACTCAAATTAACACATTGTGAAAACACTCGTACAATTATTTTCTACAAGTTATTCAATGACAAATAGTCTTTAAAGTATAAGTATAGGAAAAAATTTATGTATAATTGCTGCATTCCTTAACAGTAAAACTATCACCAAAGTAATGCTGAAACTCTATCTACCCTGCTGAATGGTTAAGCTCAATGCATTTTCTGTTGTAATTTTGTTCCTAGATGTTGTATCTGTGCTGAAACCTATTCTGTGAGAAACCTGGCTGTTTAGGCTGAGGAAGCACCACCTCTTCATTCCCTAACATGAAAACTACAGAAGACATTTCTGGCCTGTTTTCTGGGAACTTTTGAACACACAACAAGCCCACTTGAATACACCTTTGAACTAGAGATTCAATGAAAGAATCCCAAACATGTATCCATTAAATCCAGGGCCCTTCCATCATTCCACAGTAGCCAGCCTGAAATATTGCAATGCATATGCTTTATTTATTCACCAAGCCGATAGTGTGTGCAAGAGTGAGTGCACATCTTTTTTCTACTTACATGTCCAAGAAGATTATGATGTGGTCTTGGGTGACGGAACCCTCTATTCCTTCTACCACTTATTTCTCTGCAGAAGCACACCAAAACTAAAACATCGGATTTCAATGAAAATGTGCCCTCGGTGCATACTCAGGAGACATATAGCCACTGCATCAAAACACAAAAATAAGTTCTTCAATTAGTAACACACATGATTACAGTAATACTACTTACTATGTTCCGACGACTCTCTTTGTTCACTTCTTTGTCATCACTTGCAAAAATTCTTGCCACCACCGAAGTCTGAAATTTTAGGATCAGGTCATATCTTAAAATATTGCTTGTCTTCAGATCCCTGTGAACTATTTGAAGTTTAGAATCTTGGTGGAGGTAGAGAAGTCCTCTTGCAATCCCATAACAATGTCTAAGCGTTTTTTCCAGGATAATAGTTTGCTTCTTTCACGATCTGCACATCGTTGCCAACTTTAGTAACCAAAAACTAGACCTGTTGTTCAATTTTCTATTTTGACAATAAGATGAATCAATATATGAGTAGCTTCAAGCTGTGTTACTCATAGTAGTTAACTAACTGATTGAGTATAAAGTCTAGAGAAGTAACCGAAGATAAAGTTATCCAGCTTTTGTTGGGCAAATACTCGTAGATTAGCTCCTTTCATCTCCTTCAATGCAGCTGCCAACAATGGCAACGATTCCTTGTTGAACCTTTCCAATTAAAATTACTTCATTCATGAATTCTTCAAGACCCTGTCCTGATTTTCTTGAAAGCCTCTTGACTGCAATTTCCTGTCCCTCTGAAAGATTTCCTGTATATAATGCGTGCTTTGCTATTTAGCGTGAGGTTACACCGCACCTTATACCTTTCTATTGAGGGATTTGTAAACATGTATGTAACTACTACCTTGTAAACAGGACCAAAGCCACCCTCGCCAATTAAGTTGCGTTAGAGAAATTGTTAGTTCGCAGCAATGGTAGCCAAATCAAATAAAGGTACTTCTATTTCCCCCTTTCTCTTCTCCATGCTTGTTAAGTTTGAACTTCTTGCTTATCTGTACAGCCATGAGCCAGACATTACTTTCATCTTTTTAGGGAACTCTCTAAAATTTGAGTAAAACAATATCAGATGCCAGATGGGCATGGAGGTTCCAAATGATTAAATAATTTAACCAAAGGTTTGAGGAGGTCAGTGAACTTTATTAAAGTCAGCAATATTAGATGTATATTACCTTTGTTCTTTCTTTTCTTCCAAGCTTTGCAGAGTACCATGACCAATATAAAGAAGCCAGCGACTGTTGAGACCACCAGGACAATTTTTAACTACTTTTCTTTGCGCGAATCGTAACTGATTTTATAACAGCGAACATCAAAAAACTTGATCAACTAATTCTGTTTTACATTTCAAAAACCAGAAAAAGAAAGAAACAAAGAGGACAAACATTTTCGAGATTAATTTTCCTTAAATTGGTAGAGTGTATCCAAGCCAAGCTATAAAGAATGCTTTGAATTTGCTGTCAGCTGTAATTGAAGCAACTGACCTAGTTCTGAAGCTGGAACTCGTATAAAAATATCCTGTCCCCAGTGAATCCTTCTGAGCATTCTTTCATATCAGTGAGGTCTCCAAACCACATCAAACAGCCACTACCCTTTCCCCTGTATCCAGATTCGAGAAAGCGCTGCATGCACAATTCTTCAAGCACTCTGCCTGACATTCCTGAATATTCATACTCTCATTCAACCAAGGGAATCAGGCACTTTCATCCGCACAAGCTTTAGAAATCCTTCTCCTTTCGGCATTCTGATTCCATTGACGATTTCTTGACACATTTGTTAGTCTGAGTTTTGTCCCCTTCTTCTGAATTAGGTACACCCCTTTAAGCATCCACAAATAGGTGTCCACAAACCTGTCTTGCCGATTCTGCAGTTACCATTAGCACCACACTCTGCATAATGGTCACATATGTCATATCCAAGAGTACAAACGATTCCATTCTCCGTTCCCCTCGTCCCATATCAAACGCTGAATTGAGCCAGATGGATCCAATATTAATCGTGTCACAACCGTGTCACTGAAAACATCATACATGTAGTATGACTCATCTTCGTTATGCACCAAATCTGGTTTGAAGATCAAGTTGTGCATCATGGGAATACCATTAAACTGGAAACCATTCCATGGTCCGCTGCGGGCTACTTTTTTTGATGGCGTGCTAATGACTAACTCAGGTCACATCATTTTTCTCAAGTCTTAAGTAAAGTTTCCAGGGGCTGGATCACTGGCACTTCTCCATGCTGTCATAGTTCTCTGAAAGTCAGTTTTCAAGTTCCATCCCAACTTCATGCCCGTTAACAATGTGTCCGATTGGTAATCAAAGCTCTGCCACATATAATTTCAAAAGTGTCAATATCTTCCCTAAGAATAAAGTTCCCAGACTAGAGTTTTGCCACTGGATTTTCTGGCAATCTTGAAGAATTTGAAGACCAGATAATTCTCTTATCTTGTTTGAGAATTACAAGGTTTCATTTACCATCATCAGGAATTCCATTCAAAGAAAAATACCTTTCAATTCTAAAGATCCACCCGTAAGGATCTTCACCCATGAAAATGGGTAATTCCAGTTTTCTTCCTCCCAACTCACTTTGACTATGTCCCAAACTCCCTGATCCACTTACTCTGTTTTGATTCTCCTCTTCCTGATTTCTCACGTTTCTAGATGAATTTTGTTCCCCACGCCCAGCTTCTTCTTCATCCTTTCTTCTCATCCAACTCTGTATCTCTACCATGCATTCACGAATTGTCCCCATATCCACGCCCAATTTCGTTACCTCCCGTTCCACATTTTCAAGCCTAGATTCTATTCTTGTTGCTACCATAACCCACACACACACCTGCTCTGATACCAAATTGTTGCGAACCTACCCAGATTTCTCAGTCATTCACACATACAATAGCTCATAACTGAAACAAACAGCAGTTTATAGCAACCTCTAAAGTTCCAAAATAACAGAAGAGAGGTATTTCATTGATAACTCAGTTTACACCACTCTAGATCGTCTCTCTAATAAAAGAACTACTGGATTTAATTAACTACAATGAAAATAAGAGAAACCAAGACTAGAACATAATAGAAACCGATATGCTAGACTTCGAGGGCTAGCTACCTCCCCTTTTCCTCACTTCTTTCTCGATGCCTATTTACCCTTCTGCTGCTCCTTTTATTCATTTCTTCTGCTAATAGAATTTATCCCTCCTCCAGTAATCTTTCGCCACCTGTCCCACTACCTTCAATTCACACTTTAGTTGCTTCTTTTAATATTATTGATCCCCTGGTGCTCCTTCCCACGCTTCTTGTACACCCGCACTTCGCGTGTTGTATCAGATTTGCACATCATCCACCCACTTGCAGACTTGTAATCATTACCTTGAACTCTCCCACTATAAATAGATGACACCCCTCTCATTTACGGGATTGGCTAATCTTAGTCTAAAATAGCTTACACATTCTCTCGCTCTTTTTGTATTCTCTAGATTATAACTCAGCTCACTGGACGCGATCTAATCATACCTATTTATTAATACAATAGCAGTGGACATAGGATTCACTTTTAGGCATTCGAACCACTTTAAATATCGCTTCTCATTCATTGTTTCATTTCATGTTTTCTTATCACGTGTGATTTCTAAGTCTGCTTAGCACTTTGCACGTATGAGTCGTTGGTGTCAAAATCAAGCATCAACACAAGGTAAATTCATTACCTGTCTAATCAAACAATAACAGAGATCATCATGAAAATGCTAAAAAGAGAAGTGTCATATAATTTCATGAATGATGAAGAGAAACTACAAAATGAATTATAATAATGAAGGTGGGAAAGAAGAAAGGGAGTTATGGGGGTATTTAATTTTGCCAGTATAGCAAATGCCACAGGCAACTTCTCAAGTAATAACAAACTGGGAGAAGGTGGTTCTGGACCAGTAGACAAGGTAACATTACAACATTCTTCCAAGATTAGTATTCAGCTTATATATACTAGTTTTGAGTGATGATTACAGGTACATTGGAGGAGGGGCAGGAGATTGCAGTTAAAAGGCTGTCAAAAAGTTCCAGGCAAGGAATCGAAGAGTTCAAAAGCGAAGTTACACTAACCGATAATCTTCAACACTGGAATCTTGTAAAGCTTCTTGGTTGTTGCATCCAAGCAAATGAAAATTTGTTACTCTATGAATACATGCCTAACAAAAGCTTGGACTTCTTTATCTTTAGTTTGAACTCTAAACACTCCTTTGTTTTTTATTTGTGATCAGTGAAGATTTAGCATTGTACTAACATGGATAAGATGTTGATCAGATCAAACAAGAGGCGAATTATTTGTTTGGTCAAAGCGCATCCATATTACCGGTTGCGAGATGAATGCTCTATCTTCATCAAGACTCTAGAATGAGGATTGTACATAGGGACCTCAAAGCCAGCAATCTGTTACTAGATAATGATACGAACCCAAAAATTTCTGACTTTGGCATGGCCACAATATTTGGGGGAGATGATTGAGGCTAATACAAACAAAGTAGTTGGAACATAGTAAGTACACCTAACGTTGTTTTCTGCTTTTACTTTCTTCAGCTTGTGACCTTCTCTTCCAATGTCATTTTGCATGGCTATATGTCTCCGGAGTATGCAATTGATAGGGTTTTCTCGATGAAATCTGACATATTTATGTAGTTTTGGAGTTTTAGTCCTAGAGATTGTTAGTGGGAAGAAAAACAGAGGATTTTCCCATCCAGATCATTACCTTAACCTTCTTGGACATGTAAGAGTTGAGAATAACATTTTATATATAACTATTCTGAAACAAATATGTCATCTGTGCTTTATGTTTTACTTTGGAAAGAGTGAAGGCCATTGAAGTTAATTGGTGATGCATTTGGTGACTCTCGTCCGCACCTGTGTTGAGATGCATTCATGTGGGTTTGTTATGCGTGCAACAACGACCAGAAGACAGGCCAAGCATGTCATCTGTGGTTCTAATGCTGGGAAGTGAGTGTTCATTGCCTGACCCAAAGCAACCTGGGTTTTTCTCAGAAAGAAATCTGTTTGAACCTGAGTCTTCATCAGGCAACTTTTTCCATTTTGGAGGCAAGGTAGAACATCACCAATTATCTCAACAGCCCTTAGATATCCAGACAATCTGTTTAATGGTTAGTATACAAGTCTGTTGTTAAAATTGTTTGTTTGTGATGCTTTATTATACCATTAGTGTCTGTACTAATTGCAAGTGTTTGATTCAGAATGTTGGAGTCCCACATCGACTAGGCACGCTCAAGCCTATTGGGTTATAAGAGGGGGTAATCCTCCCATTCAACAAGGTCTTTTGGGTGAGGAGTTAGGCTCATCTCAAATTCTAACACAGAAGATGAAAAGATTGTCCGTTCTGTTGTAATTTCTGACACTTGGCTCAAGCGGACTATTTCTTCTGGCATTCTATTTTTAAGTTGCAATCAACTTCAAGTTTTTCACAGCAGTGAAAATACATTTCCATCATCATGATATGAGATAAAAACACAAGATTTATTTTATTTTATTAATAGGGGTATTCAATATTAGGTGAAGGAATATTAGGATAAATGAACCACCATTGAGTGGCCTAACGGTCAACTAGGATTCTAAAATATATTACTCAAGAGATCTTGAGTTCGATGCACTTGGGTTGCTAATAGGGATGGTTACTAAGGAGATTTACCCGATTGTTAACTTCAAGATCCCGAGGGATTAGTTGAGGTATGTGCAAGTTGGCCCGGACACTCTCAATCACCAAATATATATATTTATATATATTAGGAAGAGTAATATATAAATATGACTTATATTTTGGTGCCTCTGCCGTGTGATAATAAAACAAAATAAACAAAGAGAGATCAACTTAACTGATATCTAGGATTGAGGATTGAGTGGATCCACATTGCCACTGATATTTACTAGAAATCAATCTCCACTTCAAATTAACACATTGTGAAAACACTCGTACAATTATTTTCTACAAGTTATTCAATGACAAATAAGTCTTTAAAGTTTATAAGGTAAAGGAAAAATTTATGTATAATTGCTGCATTCCTTAACAGTAAAACTATCACCAAAGTAATGCTTGAAACTCTATCTACCCTGCTGAATGGTTATGCTCAATGCATTTTCTGTTTGTAATTTATCTTTACTAGATGTTGTATCTGTGCTGAAACTTATTTCTGTGAAGAAACCTGGCTGTTTAGGCTGAGGAAGCACCACCTCTTCATTCCCTAACATGAAAACTACAGAAGACATTTCTGGCCTGTTTTCTGGGAACTTTTGAACACACAACAAGCCCACTTGAATACACCTTTGAACTAGAGATTCAATGAAAGAATCTTCCAAACATGTATCCATTAAATCCAGGGCCCTTCCATCATTCCACAGTAGCCAAGCCTGAAATATTGCAATGCATATGCTTTATTTATTCACCAAAGCCGATAGTGTGTGCAAGAGTGAGTGGCACATCATTTTTTCTACTTACATGTCCAAGAAGATTATGATGGTGGTCTTGGTGACGGAACCCTCTATTCCTTCTACCACTTATTATCTCTAGCAGAAGCACACCAAAACTAAAAACATCGGATTTCAATGAAAATGTGCCCTCGGTTGCATACTCAGGAGACATATAGCCACTGCATCAAAACACAAAATATAAGTTCTTCAATTAGGTAACACACATGATTACAGTAATACTACTTACTATGTTCCGACGACTCTCTTTGTGTTCACTTCTTTGTCATCACTTGCAAAAATTCTTGCCAACCCGAAGTCTGAAATTTTAGGATTCAGGTCAATATCTAATAAAATATTGCTTGTCTTCAGATCCCTGTGAACTATTTGAAGTTTAGAATCTTGGTGGAGGTAGAGAAGTCCTCTTGCAATCCAAATAACAATATCTAAGCGTTTTTTCCAGGATAATAGTTTGCTTCTTTCACGATCTGCACATCGTTGCCAACTTTAGTAACTTCAAAAACTAGACCTGTTGTTCAATTTTCTATTTTGACAATAAGATGAATCAATATAATGAGTAGCTTCAAGCTTGTGTTACTCATAGTAGTTAACTAACTGATTGAGTATAAAGTCTAGAGAAGTAACCGAAGATAAAGTTATCCAAGCTTTTGTTGGGCAAATACTCATAGATTAGCATCCTTTCATCTCCTTCAATGCAGCTGCCAACAAGTGCAACAAGATTCCTGTGTTGAAGCTTTCCAATTAAAATTACTTCATTCATGAATTCTTCAAGACCCTGTCCTGATTTTCTTGAAAGCCTCTTGACTGCAATTTCCTGTCCCTCTGAAAGATTTCCCTGTATATAATGCGTGCTTTGCTATTTAGCGTGAGGTTACACCGCACCTTATACCTTTCTATTGAGTGATTTGTAAACATATATGTAACTACTACCTTGTAAACAGGACCAAAGCCACCCTCGCCAATTAAGTTGGCGTTAGAGAAATTGTTAGTTGCAGCAGCAATGGTAGCCAAATCAAATAAAGGTACTTCTATTTCCCCCTTTCTCTTCTCCATGCTTGTTAAAGTTTGAACTTCTTTCTTACCTGTACAGCCATGAACCAGAACATTACTTTCATCTTTTTAGGGAACTCTCTAAAATTTGAGTAAAACAATATATAGATGCCAGATGGGCATGGAGGTTCCAAATGAATTTTAAATAATTTAACCAAAGGTTTGAGGAGGTCAGTGAACTTTATTAAAGTCAGCAATATTAGATGAATATATTACCTTTGTTCTTTCTTTTCTTCCAAGCTTTGCAGAGTACCATGACCAATATAAAGAAGCCAGCGACTGTTGAGACCACCAGGACAATTTTTACTACTTTTCTTTTGCGCGAATCGTTAACTGATTTTATAACAGCGAACATCAAGAAACTTGATCAACTAATTCTGTTTTACATTTCAAAAACCAAGAACAAAAAGAAAGAAACAAAGAGGACAAACATTTTCGAGATTAATTTTCCTTAAATTGGTAGAGTGTAGATCCAAGCCAAGCTATAAAGAATGCTTTGAATTTGCTGTCAGCTGTAAATTGAAAAGCAAACTGACCTAGTTCTGAAGCTGGAACTCGTATAAAAATATCCTGTCCCCAAGTGAATCCTTCTGAGCATTCTTTCATATCAGTGAGGTCTCCAAACCACATCAAACAGCCACTACCCTTTCCCCTGATATCCAGATTCGAGAAAGCGCTGCATGCACAATTCTTCAAGCACTCTGCCTGACATTCCTGAAAATTCATACTCTCATTCAACCAAGGAGAATCAGGCACTTTCATCCGCACAAGCTTTAGAAATCCTTCTCCATTTCGGCATTCTGATTCCATTGACGATTTCTTGACACATTTTTTAGTCTGAGTTGTGTCCCCTTCTTCTGAATTAGGTACAAACCCCTTTAAGCACTCACAAATAGGTGTCCACAAACCTGTCTTGCCAATTCTGCAGTAACCATTAGCACCACACTCTGCATAATGGTCACATATGTCATATGGCAAAGAGTACAAACGATTCCATTCTCCGTTCCCCTCGTCCCATATCAAACGCTGAATTGAGCCAGATGGATCCAATATTAATCGTGTCACAACCGTGTCACTGAAAACATCATACATGTAGTATGACTCATCTTCGTTATGCACCAAATCTGGTTTGAAGATCAAGTTGTGCATCATGGGAATACCATTAAACTGGAAACCATTCCATGGTCCGCTGCGGGCTACTTTTTTTGATGGCGTGCTAATGACTAACTCAGGTACATCATTTTTCTCAAGTCTTAGAGTAAAGTTTCCAGGGGCTGGATCACTGGCACTTCTCCATGCTGTCATAGTTCTCTGAAAGTCAGTTTTCAAGTTCCATCCCAACTTCATGCCCGTTAACAATGTGTCCGATTGGTAATCAAAGCTCTGCCACATATAATTTTCAAAAGTGTCAATATCTTCCCTAAGAATAAAGTTCCCAGACTAGAGTTTTGCCACTGGATTTTCTGGCAATCTTGAAGAATTTGAAGACCAGATAATTCTCTTATCTTGTTTGAGAATTACAAGGTTTCCATTTAACACAGTTAAACTCCGGACTTATCATCTATTGGGATGTTTCTGTTGGCAACCCATACAACGGCCTTAGGACTAATCGTGTAGTACCAGATTCCCAGGTACCTGTTGTTTGAGTTTCCTGGTGAGAAGAAGCCTAGCTCAAATCTCTGGGATGAGGAAATTAATGTCTCACCATCTCTGATAGGTTGTCCCGGAGTTATCGTATCAGCTGCAGATGAGAACCTCCATGGCTGATAAAAGAATTAAAGACCAAACAAGGTGAAGATATAAGGCTCTCCATTCTTATTTTGGAGAGGAAAAATTGAAAATTGCATTCATGGTGGAAGAGGTCAAGAAGTTCTTTTAATTTAGAACTTTCATACATTGTCCCATAGTTGACCTCGTAGATTTGTGTTTCCCACTGATAAGGCTTTGTTGAAAACTCAGAATTGATGGAAAATGAGACGGAAAGCATCCCGCAAAGAATATCATTTCACATAAGAATAGCTGGCCCTGAAAGATAAACAAGGTTAACCAAGGTTGGCCAAGCATAACGTTTTCAGGTCATGATGGGTTTGTGTCAGTTCTTGTGGAAATTTGATAGTTTATTTGTGTTTCACCTAATCCTTTCCTTACCATTCCCAGCCCTACGTTTTATAACTTTTGTGGTATCAACAATTATTGTAGTTAGAGAGCTGGTAATTTGTAAGAAATTTCTAGGAGATACCAAGTTTCTAATCAAAACCACGAAAAACGTTATCTCAGTCCTGTCACTTCTTGGAATATAATGTCGTTTGTCTGCAGTATACATACAACTGTCATTGAGGGACATTCCCTCAGAGTTGTCACAATCTTTGAACTTTCTAAGGCACCTAGTCTTCCAACTCCCCATAAACGATGACATTTGTGGTCCCAAATTAGTCGAGGATAATTTACAAGTGTATTTGTTCAGTGAATTCCATGCGCTTGTTTTTCTTGAAAGTGACGGCATAGCCGGTAATCAGTAATTTTGGTGAAGAATGAATAGTTCCAAATGATATATTTGGTTTGAATGTATTCTTAGGGTCAAAGATGGACTGTATTTGTATAGAACCAATACTTCTTTGTGAATAACTCCTGACTCCTCATAAATGCAAACAATTTTGTAGCACACTTGAACGACTGAAAACTATGCAAGCCACCTGACAGTTTCTACCTATCAGTCAACCGTGAAGTTTGGAACTACAAGCTGTTATTAAAAATCAGAATCTAGTATGATACCATGTCAAAATATGGAGGAGTAAAAATACAACACACAGGACACATATTTATGTGGTTCAGCATAAATCGCCTATATTCACGGATGAGATGGTTTCTCTATAATTTTAAGAACACAATGCTAGAGCGTTAGGCAGGAACTCTACCCTATGGTTGTTTTATCAGTACAACACCATCAACCATTACATAGTGTCATGGCTAGGAGTTTCACACCCAAAAGGCTAATCTATTAGGTAGAGGACTCCCCCCATTTATAACCCAAGACCTCCTCAATATGCTTTCAATGTGGGATTTGTTACATTCTCCCCACCCAATCCTGTGACTCCCTCGTCACGGTGGGGTCCCCTGCTTACCCATCCACCTCACTCTCGTGTAGACCCACAATCACACGTGGATGCCCCTGTGTCGGCGCTTGACGGGACATCGAAAGATGGATGGGTCTACTCTGATACCACTTGTCACGGGCTAGGAGTCTCACACTCAAAAGGCTAACCTATTAGTAGAGGGACTCCCCCCATTTAAAACCCCAAGACCTCTCCAATACGCTTTCAATGTGGGATTTGTTACAATAGGCAACATTCTATTCCTAAGGTATTTAATACCCCTTCCAAAGGTATTTAATACCCTTTCTCATCTTGTGTTTTCTCATTCTCTCTTCTCTTGTGATTTCTCTCAAAAACCATAAATTGGTTCACCTCTATATTTAGATGCAGAATAGGACATTTTTTTTTTCTACTAAGATTGATATTTAAATCCTAATATGACTTCTCTTATTTAATTCATTCTCTATTTGACTTAAAATAAAATCTTAAACCAATTCTTTTTTTCTAATTCATATCAAAATAAAGAAAAACAAATATACTCCAATACAAACTCTTAAATAGAAATTTGCCTCAAACTGAAATTCTCCTAAAAATCTTCATCAACTACAAAAAAGTGTTCACATTCTAAGTATAAAACCTCCCTGCCTAAACATTTGGAATTTAAGGTCAACAGAAATTCTTATTTCTACCTACTGGTGCCATACACATTTATAATAATCCAATAAAGTCGTTTTCTGAAGCAAGTTTTTCCATCTATGAAATAACATGTTCACACTTAGGTTCAGCCTCTGGTGGAAAATCCATCAGTGTAAACATCATTAATTCAAATCATAAAATCAAAGTCGATCGTTTCGAATTAATTCTTAGTCTCATCCTAGCCCCCACTTAACACCAACCTGGAAACTTTATCCTGGCTAGAGGTGCCGGGACTGGGCCCAAAAACCTAGCCACAAACTGATCCTAGGATCGGTCCTTGAGAGGATTGTCTAGGAGGTCTGGTCCCAAAATGGGACTAGCCCTAAGGAGGAGGCCCTCCTCCGGTCCCATGCCCGGGCCCAAATTTTATTGGCTTTTTTAGTTTAGTCCCCTGCAAATTACTGAAACCCCTTATCAATTAAAATAAACATAAATTATAACGGTTAAACTGATATTTTATAAAATTATAAAAAATAAAAAAAAAATATATTTTTTTTAACCGTTGCCAGCCAACGTTTATAATTTATATTATAACCTTTTTTTTTTCATTTTCCCCCCCAACCACACTATAAATAACCCTAAAATCTTTTATTTTTTCCACACCAATCAATCTCTCATTCTCTCATTCTCTCTCATTCTCCAATCTCTACTCTAAATCTCCAAGCAAATTCTCATTCAATTTATATTTATATTATTCATATTATTTATTTTATTACAATTTTTTTTCTATTTTTCAATATCATCATAATTTCATATTATTATTAATTTCTTTCATTTTATTTATTTATTATTTTATCATAAATTTATAATGGATTCCCCAAATGAGTTTTACATTCCATCCACCGAAGAAATGGAAGGTTCAATCCATTTTCACCATTTCCTCCAGAGGCAATAGTTGCAATTCCACAACCACATTCGATCGGGACGAGGTGTAGCCAAACATATGCAAGCTGCGAGTCAACGGCACGGGCATAGCCCAACCCCCCGACCGTCAAAGAGGGTCGTGTCCGTATTATGGCGACACTTCACCAAATCAAACGGCAAAGACAAATGGAAGGGGAAGAATCGTGTGGGATATGTAATTTTGTGAAACCATTATTGGCGCTAAGAGGGGACTTCGACGATCGACAACACGTGGAAAGAAGCACCCCCAAATATGTATTGCCCGTACATCTTCAACCGATCAGGTAGACAAATTCAAACTCAACTTAATTTTAATCTACAATCCTCAACTCTCTCAACATGACAATACAATCACATATTGCACGAAGGAAGTAGCAAGATTCATAGTTGCTACGGACTCTCCCATTTGTTTATCAGAAATCCTTATTTATTCACATAATTAAAACTGCATTTTGTCCAACATATACCCCTGTTAGTAGAGTCAAGTAGAAGAGATATATATACTAAAACTTTATAACAAAATAAATAATAAACTTAAAAACGAATTTCAAAATTTTAGGAATATATCTATTGCACTTACATCAGACATATGGGTTTGTAGATCAAAAACGATTTTTACTGTCACTATATTTCTAATCATAATTAGGGTTTACAACAAATTGATAGGTTTTAAACCATTATATGAAGAAAAAAAAGGTGTTAAACTATTTATTTTACAATTCTTGAAGTTTTGCAAGAAAATTTATTAACTGATAAGTTGTAGGGCTAACGCTTGATAATGCAGCTGCTACCACCGCGCAATCTCTTTATTTGAAAAGAGATTGGATCTACGTGGTGTAGGCAATTTTTTTCACCAGAGATGTGCTTGTCACATCATCAATTTAATAGTTAAAGCAGGTTTAGATGCTATACATTCAACATGGAGAGGGTGTGTGCACTATCGATTTATCGTCAGCGGAGCATAAAAGATGGCAGGAGTACGTCAAATATTGTAAGCAAGAAGAGCCACCGGTTCGACCTTTGAAGTTATGTACGGACATGCCTATCCGTTGGAACTCCACCTACTTGATGTTGGAAAAGCTTTGCCACTGCGAAACAAATTACAGATTTCGTCAACCGAAACACTATCTAGAGAAGTTGTCAGCTATGATGATGGGCGGTTTGTGAACTTTTTTATTCATTTTTTAAAAATTTTTATGATGCTACTAATACATTAAGTGTATTTATTATCCGATTACTAATTTAGTGTTAGATATTTTACTTCAAATTGCTAAAACTTTTGCTAAATATATTAATAACGTTTTAAGGGAAATTGTTTTAAAGATGAAGAAAAATATCAGAAATATTGGTTAGATATTCCATTCTTATATGAATTAGGCCTTTTTTCTAGATCCTAGGTTTAAATTACACATAGTTAACGTGTAATTACTGAGTTAGAGCCAGCATTTAGGACATGATTATACGTCTTTTTGACTACTTTAAACAAAATTGGATAGACTTTTTCTTTATATGAGAACGGTACAATGGAAGTAGAAGTGGAAAAGGAACGTTCAGGAGAGAGGATCAGGACCTTGATTAGCCCTCCGTCAAGGATCAAGCAAGTGGCGTATGTGGAACGTGGTGAAGCTCCCAGCTCGTACATACATGTACCAAATGAGCTGAATCGCTACTACAGTTGGACCTAACGTTATGACGTGAAGAGCAACTTGACATAGATATTCTTCAATGTGGAACCAACATGA